ATACACAGTGGAAGTGAAGAACAGATTTAAGGAACTAGATTTGGTAGACAGAGTGCCTGAAGAACTATGGATGGAAGCTAGTAACACTGTACAGGAGGCAGCAACAAAAACCACCTCAAAGAAAAGGAAATGCAAGAAAGCAAAGTGGCTGTCCAACGAGGCCTTACATCCCCTTTCTAGTCACAACTTTGTTGTTATTCTTGCTTTGATCTACAACACGCCTTACACATGCTCCCACATTCCTGTCCTGGGAGATTTGCTGAACTTTCAGGCATGGCAGGTGACAGGATTCTTCTTCAATTAAAAGGATGATCCTGAGAAACTAGAGTCAACTCTGGCATCATGAACTGGCATATTTTGGACAATGTTTGGGCAAAATATGCTGCGGCCAGTTGCCCCCAACACAGGGCCTTCTGCTTGCTTCATGGCTGCAAGAGCTTTGCTTTTCAGTTTTGATTTCAGGGCCACTGCCTTCCTTGGAACAGGGTACAAGCTTTTCTAGTCCAACTGGAAGATCAATCAGCTAATGACTGGCTGGTTTAATTGGCAGGCTAATCAACTACAGATTTAATTAACTGTCAAAGATTAATTTTAATCAAAGAGAACAAGTTTCAATTGGAGAGGGGGCTGGAATGAAACAGCTCACTTTCTTCTTCCTTTAGGGTAGGGGTAGGTAATGGTAGCTCTTCAAACTTTGGACTGCAAATCCCATGATAATGGAAACTGTAGTTTAAAAAAATCTAGAAGGTCACAGTTGGCCACCTTGTTTTAGACCATAGTGGTTTGTCAGGTTACTGAAATAGCAACTGAGGAATATTATGGACAGGTTTTGCTTATTTCCACTAGTGATAGGTATTTATTATTATTAAGTTTGTTAACAAGCAACTTTATTTCCTTTAAAATTGCCTTACTGAAAATCCTAAGTATAGGACTTTTTTCACCCATTACAACAAAAGCTTCTTTTCAGCAGCTTCTGTTTTACCATAAGTGCAAATTGTTTGCCCTGATCAGTTCATGTGTCATCAGGAATACCTCCTTGCTATTTTGTATTTTAAGGGAAAGAAAAGGTACCAGAAAAATTGGATGATAAAGAGAAATAAGTTTTGACACAGAATATAAAACACATTAATAACAGAAAGTACTTAATTTTTTTTAAAATTACAAACATAAATGAACCCTTCTTTAGATATTATGACTCTATGAAGGTTAATGTAGCTATACACACAGATATCGCTATGTATATGTGTGAAATGGAACATACCAAAATGGAGCTCACCATTATGCTGCTGTTTCCCTCACCACATCAACGCAGTGTGCACAGTGTGTCATATGTAGAGGTCATTCTACAGCTATCATTAAGCAGAAGGAATTAACACTAAAGCTACAATAGTGGTGGCAGATTACTTCTACTGGGATCTATACCAATAGTAATCTGCACGTCTATCTCTACATCTGCTGGACAGATAGGTTAAAAAGACTGCTAACAATTAATTGTACCACCAGCCAGTAAAGCACATCTAAATCTTCTGAAACCATTACTTTCTTAATATTACAAATCTCCAGGACACCACTGCATTTCACCACCTATCTAGGTAAAACATATACACTGTTTTTGGTCAAGTGATAATAAAAGCAACTGCAGATTAGAATCTTGTCATGCTTTATTACTGTTGTGCAGAAACTGATTAGTTGCGTATATTTTCATGCAAGAGTTTGTTCTCCCAGCTGCAGAGAGTAAACTTTGCTCTTACATAGTGGCCCAAATCCTGTTGTACAGCTACACCTTCATAACTTAAAGATATGCAAGCTGTTGTTAAATCTGCACCAAGGTGGTGGTGGTATCCAAGAAGCAGTTCCACAGTCAGTTGTGCAGTCAAGATGTGGTCAATTGCACAATTCGTTGTATACTCCACTGTGCAACCAGACAAACAGACTGCCTGGGCTAACTCCCTGTGAACTTCCCCAGGTGTAACTTTATACCAACTGTAATGCAATTTCAGCTAAACACTAAGTTTGTTATTTATGTGAGGCTGCTTAATGCCATTGAACCCATTGCTCTTTTTGTGGAAATGGCTTAATATCCTAAGAGTATAGCTGGTTTTGTTTTTTGTTTTGGTATGAGGCAATCAAATAATGTTGATCAATGTCACATGTATTCCTCTTTTTTATTGCTGTGGATGGCTAGGGGATTTTCTAGCTTGCTCATTTTAAACCACTACAAGTTTTTCATATGAAATGTGTACTGAACACCATTGGAGATTAACAATTCAAAACTTAGGCGGCACTGCCAGTTAGGTATTCTTGTGCTTTGGGAAGCCATTCTCACTCTCAGAGGGGGCATTGAGAGCAGTAAGACTTGTGACATAAGAAAATTAAACCACACAGATATTTAGCAATTTTCATCCAGGGGATATAGAATCACAGAATCAAACGATCACTGAGCTGGAAGGGGCCTATAAGTTCATCAAGTCCAACCTTCTGCTCAACACACAAGTCCAAGTCAAAGCAGAGCTGACAGATGTTTGTCCAACTTTCTCTTGAATGTCTCCAGGATTCAGCTCACCTTATCTAGGCACTTCCCTTATCTAGGCACTTATTTAACAATTTTTCTTCTTCTCTCCCCTGGGTAGGATACATAAGACTTTTTTATTGTAAAACCTAGTCTTTTCTTTGCCTGTCATCTGGACGCAACTATAACTTTAAAAAACCCGAATAAAATATTTTGACTGTAATTTAAAAATATTTTTAATACTTATGATTTGACTCAAGTATGAAATTGCTTACAGGGTATATTTCTGGGCTGACTGAAGAAGGAAAACTAAGGCAAAGGAGGCACCAAGAACAATTTTTCTTGAAAGTCTGCTATTATAAATCAGGATTGCTGAATTTGTATAATACTACGCTTTTCCTATGTTTTGCTTATAAACGTTATAAATCTTTGTTTTGTTTTGTGGGGTTTTTCATAGTTAAGAAATCAATATTAAGTCTTTGTCTCAAGAGTGATCCTTGAATATTTCACACGAAACCCTGTACTTTGGTAAAAAGAAAAGCGGTACTTTGTTTTGTTTTTGTTGCTGCTGCAAACAGACTACCACAACCATCTTGCTGAAAATCATTTTGGAAAGGGCATTTATAAAGCCTTAACAGGGCGTCAGAAAAAAAAAAGGGGGTGGGAGATCTGAACACAATGAAATTAGGGTTGGCATATTTTAGCTGAACCTGTTCATAAATGATATTTATGAAGTTCAGGACTGTATGAAGCTTTGAATTTAGCAAAGAACCTGAAATTTTACAAAGGGACTGGAAAATGACTTGTATTCAAATTGTTATGCAATCATTCTATCTTTAGCTTTAGATAAAGTGGTGGAAATGTTTTATGGCCATTTAATTTGGTAACTGGGTCATATAAAAGCAGATGATGCACAGAATCCAGAAGAAGGAGATGCACAGAAACAATAACAATGTCCCAAGAGATAGGCAAAATAAATACGAATTTTGTAGAAAATTGGTGACACCACAACACAAGCCTGCTAAATATATTTTGTTGCTGTTTCTAGTTTTCTTGATTTCAGTAGAACCAACCACTAAGGATTTATGTAAAGTGTCAGAGCAATAGGTGGCTGAAAAGCTCACCGAGTACCTGATCCAGTGAGACAGAACACACAGAGTGATTGAATAAATAGATCTGAGGAAGGAAGTGTTGTTGTAGGTGCTGGAATTAATATAACCTTATGGGACTCACCAGACGCATGACGGGTTGGAACTACAGCAGCTGCTGACACTGCCAGTCCCTTATTAGTGTTCCTCAGGAACTGTGCAATTTTCTAAAGTCAACAGGCAATTACATCTCCTTCCGTATCTCTCTCTATAAAAAATGCTGCAAATTCTTACTGGTGTCATCTTCTTGGTAAGTGATGAGCAAGGCATTAATTATAGTTAATTTTCTTTTTTAAACTCGTGCTGTTTTTTGTTATTTTCCTATATGGGGCAATATTTTACAAATTGCATTGATCTGCTGTCTTATGGGAGCCGTTTTGTTGTTTTTAAATGTTCCTGACTAACACTACAATAAACAAACTGCGTGGGAGAGAAGAGCAATGGGAGATTGCTGCGGCTGCTAAATGGCATTTTTAAATTGTCAGATCTGGAGGCCACTCAAGTATGTGGAAGGAGCAAATGGAAGGCACTGCTGTGCATGCTAAAACTAAGGTCTGCAGCCATGGCCTCAAAAATACAACCCTGTTGTGTTCTCTTGTGGCATATGAAAGAATAAACGTGTAGCAAGATTGAAAGAGTAACCTTCTGAGGGACTGCAGCTATCAAAAAGGCAAATGCAAATCACAAACCATGAATTTGAATTGATTTGTATCTGGTTTTTAGAACTGCTCTGAAGAGTACAGAACTATGCACAGGCAATTCAAAGATTAGAGAGAGAAGGAAAGAGAGGTGGATCATCAGGAGATGTGTACCATGATTAGCTACCCAATTTAAACTCCTCTGATGATTGGTTAAATCCAGGTTAATCAAAGAAGTTCCTATATATGCACGAAATGGCTTAAACTGAGGATTACAAACAATATACACCATGAAGGTGTTTTTTTTTTAAATGAAAAGATCATTTGCAAAAGCAAAAAAAAAAAAAACATTCCAAGACAATTTCTTTCATATTTTCTTTTGCAGGTTTTTCCTCCAGCTACTATATTCTGGTCTCTTCCAATTTTCTTCTTCATCACAGATAATCCCAGCCAATCACGGACCAGGTATTACGTATCATGATATGACGCCATGCAGACAATACAATTTGGTTTCAATGGATTCTAGAACATAGCAGGTTTAGTAGAAAACAGAAGGAGAAATCTAGTTCTATTGAACTATTTCCAGAGTGGAAAGCAGTGGTTCCCTACATCCCTTTCAAAAACACTTCAGAACAGTGATGAATGCTTTTATGAGTCACTGATAAGATTTATTCCAGGCGAGAAAGATGAGAAACAGAGACTTACTGCTTGTTGTGAGGTTACTTTCCCCGGTCTGTGGAAGAGGATCTGCATCCTGGATGACTTGTAATACTCCAACTGTCCGGACAGGTGGATCCAAAGCTACGGAGCTCTCATTCACAGTTATGTCACTAGCTCCTGTAATTTGATTGGTTGGTGGCCCTCCTATAGAAGCTTCAAAATCTGGAGGGATGTCATCTACACAATCTGCATTTGGCTGATGGGAATGAGAAAGAGAAGACTCATGGAAAAGGGAAGGAACAAAGATTCTGAAATGAAGTGTTTAGATTTGAATCACTGGGGGGAAGTTTGCTCCAGAAAAACTACATTCATAGCTCAGAGGCTTAGGTCTCTGACGGAGATGCTAGAGGCTGTGAGTTAAATTCCCCACTGTACTTCCTTGACAGGGGCCGGACTCGATGATCCACAGAGTTCCCTCCAGCACTGCAGTTCAAAGGTTATTATTATTTACTTGCAATTCCACCTATCGGCTGAAATTATGTTGCTGAACTTATGCCTGGCAGAAGAGCAATGATGTCGCAGGCAGTGGGTAATTTTTCACAATTAAAAGCTTTCTAATTCTGTCCTGTGGTTTTTCCAACTCCCACGTACGAAGCCACAGGATGGAAGGAAGATGTCTTTAATTGCTGAAAATCACCATAACTGGACAATGTTACCAGCTATAGGATTATTAATTACCAAAAAATCACCCTTCAACATCACCACCTTTCTGCAGATGGATGTTACGCAACATTTCAGTCGCTAACTAGTTACAGATTTCCAAGGGTGTATTTTGGTTTCTTTTTAAACAGAAGTACATATCAGGAGAACCTGTATTGGTCTGCATATTCTGTTGAGAATAATTACGTGGTTACGTGGAATTGGATAACTTGCCATGGAGCAAGCAGTGATCCTCTGGAAGAAAATCTGTCCTTGACTTGAATAACAGTCGTGTGTGCACAAGCAGTGTGGTCTTATGTCGCTAAGCTGATGGGGACTTGTGCAGAGTGGAAGCTTAACATGCTACTGACCATTATCTCTAAACAGTTATCCTGACTTGGAAATTCCTTATAGTATTTCTCCTTTGGACCATTCCCTCATGCCGGCTAATATCATCATGGATAAAATGTGTCTTCCCATCTTCCTTCAAAACACATGCATGGCCTGTGACTGGGATTAATACTTAATATGGACCTTTATTCCTGGGGGGAAATGCAGATGCCTTATACAGCAACAGCCACTTTGTACTTAATTCAAATCCACAAGGCATCTTAGCCATGCAAATCTGCATTTATAAAAATGCGAATTACATAAGATTTCAGATAAATCACAATTTATTTGAAATGTGATCTAATTAGTTGACCCAAAACATGTTGTTTCTCAAGGCGAAGGGCAAAATGACATCTCTCCTTTCTCCCCAAGTTTCATCTACAGAAGCCAATCAGACTACTCGTAGCAGTTGAATCTTATTTCAACCACGGTGACAAGAGAGTGTTCTCCCCTCCAACTAAGGGCAACAAAATAGTTCAGGGGATACAGACAGATCATGGAGTAAATGCAGTTAGTCCATTGTATACATTTCGAGACATATCAACATAGGAGCCCCACTCTACCTAAAGGTAGGGCCAGCCCTAGAATTAACTAAAAATACTGAGCCTTCTAAAAGACTTAGAGGATATATATAAGGCAAAGTTACTAGGGATTTGGCATTTTCTGCATTCTAGACAGCTCAATGGTCTAGGTATCTGGCTGCAGAGCCAGAGGTTGGGAGTTCAATTCCCCATGGTGCCTCCTGTGAATAGAGCCAGCCTGTGTGGCTTTGGGCAAGTTGCATAGTCCTAAGGTGACCCCAGAAGAAGGGAAGCCACAGGATTTCAGCCATCATTCTAATTGTTTCATACCACTTTAACTGTCATGGTTCCATTCCAAGGACTTGCGAGACTTATAGTATAATGTGCTTTAAAACTCTGCTACAGAGTTTTAATCTACCCCTCTGAACTACAATACCTAAGATACCATGAATGCCTATCTGCACGACAAAATGAAATTCAAACAATGCTAAATTCCAAGCTCCCCACTGGAAAGGAGGTACCTTTTAAGTATTTCACCTAAATACAAATCTTAGGATTCCTTAGGATAGAACCATGATTATTAAATTGATATGAAACTAATATATACATGCCATATTTCAGGTGTTTCATAGTCTCTGAACTGTGGCAGAGGCATAAGATCAGGCTCTCTCTTATTAACAATAACACCAAGAGTCTCATGGAGATTTCTACATATGGGGCTAAATAAAATAAAACAAAAGAAAATAATTGTGTGCTGACAATTCTGACTTATGGCAATCTTCAGGCTTCTCTATGTATACAAGTACTTAGAGTGTGCTGTCAATTCTGACTTATGGCAACCTTCAGGGTTCTCCCATGTATACAAGTACTTAGGTGTGCTTTATCCATTCCTTTTTCTGAGTGTGTTCTCAGAGCTTATAGCTTGCTCAAGGCCAGCACAGCTTGGCTCTTCATCTGGGAGGCACAGAGGGGAAGTGAACACCCAAACCCTTAGGTCAGGTGCTCCAGCTCCAGCAAATTATCCAGCCAGTTTACGAGTACAGTTTATTCTAAATACCACATGTGAGGGCAGTGGTCTTGGAACACCCAGGTTTAATATTTACCATTGTTATATACTTGCTTCTTCACTATAAAGAAAATGGGATGACTGTGTGTGACAAGATAATTTTAAAATAATCTAGCTTACCGGAATCCCTAGTGCTTTTAAGATGTTCATTTTACACATGGGGCATGTGCGATGATCCAGTAGCCATGGATCTACACAAGATTTGTGAAAGAGATGCCTACAAGGAGAGGAAAAAAAAATCACATTTAGTTCAACTCTCTCTGTATAAGTTTAGAATATTTTTTATCTCCCAAAGTTGAAGATGAGAAAGCAATTTTGAATGATGCTCAGAACAGTTTTACAGTATAAGATCAATATAGCTGAAGGCATATCTGTGCAGGAAAGATTTCTGCCAAAACTAATGAGTGAAAGACTGTGCTAAAAAATAGAACTCTTTAGATATCATATATTTTAGATGGTGAAGCCTGGTATGTGATTTGGCATGCTAGAGGAACATCTTAGATAATAAAAACCAGAAACAAAGAAGTATGTATCCAGTCACGGTAGACTTATTGTCCTTGGGACTAATCTGAAGCAGCATGAATAACTAACTGTGTGACTGTGAAAGTAATAATAGACCAAATGTGGATATAAAACACTCAACTCATGTTTACCTCAGAAGAGCAAACTATTCTTTTGGAATTCACTGCAAAAAGAATTATCTTTGTTGTAATTATCAACTATTTGTTGATGGTCCATCATAAAATCTGATGCACACATATAAATGAATATATTACTTGCACAAAACATATCAAGTGACTGGCCAGGAATCCAGATGCTGGAGGCCTATGTAGCAGAAAACCTAAGGAAACTTTTGGAAAGGTTCCAATTTTGAATTTTAACCAAGCAGTCAAGTCTTTGATTTCAGTTCATCACAAAATCTCTTTCCTGCAGACACGCACAATTTGATAGGCCAACAACTGCCAACAAACCAGAATATACAACAAATCATTTCCTTCCTTATGAACCTGGCTAAGGCATGCCATCAAACTCCAGGGTTCTCATTAGAGATGGGGGGGGTAGGCAGGGGGAGGGAGGATGAGTCTTCCTCCACGACGTCCGAGTGGCTAGCTTAGCGGGAAGAGAGTGGGGCTCTGGAACTGATTGGAAAGATGAGCGAGGATGCCGCCAGACATGTGAGTGGGTGGTCTGGTCCCAGGGGCCCACACCTCATTAAGTCCAGCTGCACGGGGATATTCGTATTCGTATACTAATACCTCCATCTCTAATTCTCATCCATAGGTGATGAACCAACACCACCCCTGCCTAGAACACCAGCTGCCTTTGCTCCTCTTACTTATTTGGCCACAAAAGCTCAGTTGGTGGGGATGAGAAACAGCCCTTCCTGGGGTGGCATTTAAACCTTGAAATGCCTTCCAAATATGGGCTCTATATTAAATCTGCTTTTAACACCATTAACTCCCAGTTTAAGGCTATCATATTAATGTCTTATTTTTTATGTTTTATTGCTTGTTGCTTCCATGTTCCATTTGACTTTAATTTTGGTATGATTCATATATTGACTGTAGGTTACCTTATACAGTATTCATTTTTATCATTGGAAAGTGGGATATAAATGTTCAAAGAAAGGACCAAAGGAAGAAGCATTTAAAATACTTTTGGAACTTTTCATTAGTAGTATAACCTTCCAAAACAAGCATTACAACTTTTAAAAATCAACACTCATATACCCACAATGGTTCAAGAATGTACTGTATATACTGCACAGTCTGTAAAATCATACTAGAAAGTCTTCCTTTGCTTTACATTCAAGCACAGCAAACTGTATCTAGTCACTGAATAGTCTGAATAATGTTTCACAGATAATGGCTGCTTAGAATTGCACTTTACAGCCTTATTTGGCTATGCCAGTGATCCTTAGCTTCAAAAGAAGGCTACTCATGCTGAGTTACTCCAACTCAACAGCTGTCAAGTTCACGTCTGTGTGCATTTCCAAAAACTAAATGCAATTAGATTACAATCACAGCAACTAAATTCTGGCTTGCTTAAGTGAATCGGAGCTTTGCCCTTTGAATTAATCATGTGGTTTGTTAATCTCAGAATAACTTCGAATAAACTTTCGACACCTTAAATGTAAATTGTCTGGATTAGAATTTTTTAATTATTATGTGATTAATTTTTCTATTATGCTTAATCATAAAACAAAACTAAAACACAGGCATACTCTTCTCCCGTAAACAACAACAAAAAGTTGGGGAGGGGGGCACAGTATAGTAGGAATAATAAAAGAAAGCCTCAAAGTCTGGGGGGAGGGAGAAATCTAAACTTACACTTCAGTGAAAGATGATTAAATTGGTCTAGTTAAGTGTCCATATGTTAGTCGTCATCTATATGCCACATATTCAGATTGAAAGAATTATAAGGTCCACAGTCCATTGATTTATAGATGGTGAGCTTTTATCCTTCCAGTGCCAATAGCTTAACAACCACAGTGGGGCTGAGAACCCAAAACACAAATCTGCTTCAGGCTCATCTGGTTTCAAATGAAAATAGTTCCAAGTTTCTTAGGACATCTCCCTGGCATTTCTGTGTTTGTTTTCTATTCACACAACATATCTGAGTTCTTATTAGTGTCTGGAAAAAAAAAGGATAAGGATTGCTGCCACTACTCCAAATCGATTATACAGTACAGTATGTTCCATATGGATAGAACTAATGCACATATAAGCCAGGCATGCGTAGGCTCTGTATGCACAATTAGAAACACTGCAAAATACTAGATCCCAGAACAAAAGAAAAGAATACATTGCATGTATGTCTACACACATGCAAACCCTATGTGGACAATGACCTATATCTGATGTCATTGCACTAGTCACTAGTGAGTGCACATTTTCAGAACAAAGCAATACCTGATAACAGAGAAAACTTTGTTGTGCACCTGGGTTTGCAAGCAGTTGCACAACTGGTTTATAATTGTGGAATCCAGCACAGCTGCATAAGTGAGGATTTTCACTCTTCTAGCATTATACTGGATTCAGGTCTGAGCCTATCAGTATAGGAAGGCTGTTCAAAATGGACAGGGCTTGGCTGTGAGGAAGAGACAACTTTGAGACCCCATGGCATATTATATACAGTATTATTATAAGAAACAAGGATACAGGAACACACCAGAGCAAGTTGCTTGAGAAAGGTTCCATTGGAACACAACCCCCTCTGTAATCCTTTCTAATGGGATTCCACTGGCAAGCCTGGATGAGCTTGATGAATTGGTCCTAGGACTAAAGGTACGTCATAGAAAAATTTCCACCTGCTGTTGCATATGCAATTGCCATGTGAGGTAGACAAATGTGGATCTAGCAATTCCTGATAAATGCACAAGGATTTGTTCTTTGAATGGACTCTGGGAGGTTTGGATTTAGAAGAGGAATATATGCAATTTACATCGAGGATTAATAATTTATCCTTATTAAAGCTTTAACTATTGCATCTGGTCTATGTTTCAGAAATATATATATATTTCATGGTAGGACACAAATAGACCAAATAGATCAGTGAGGATTTTTTAAACCAATGCCTCCATAAGTTCCACTGATTTAATAGGCCTACTCTAGTTGTGACTTACTACTGAATTTCAGCCACTAATCACATCCTTGAGCTGGAGTCAAACATTTCATTCCTCTGACAAACTCTCCCAATGAAACAAAGGGATCTTTGGATTTAGCAAAACTATGCTGAAGCACAGGATAATGTGAAGAGTTTACAAATATCATGGGTCAACAAAATTTACCCACTACCAATTATAAGCCTCTATAAATTTGGTTTCTGTAGCTATTTGACCTCTGAACACTACCACTGGTCAGAATTCTGTCCAGTTTAACTGCTTTCACAACAGTCTGTTGCATCAGTGCCTCAGCATTTTAGGAGCCTATGTAAAGAGCCATCCAAGCTCTCCTCACACAATCAGAAGCTTTTTAGCTCAGGTCATCTTCTGAACAGCAGGACAAGTGACTGAGCAGAACTATGCCTGCAGAGTTTTACACCCCATCACCATTCAGTAGGACTCCAACCTAGTAGGCATCCTTCAGTCTCGAAAGACTATGGTAGCGTGCTCTGTATGGAGGACTTGGAACAGCGTCTAGTGTGGCTGGGGAGGCCAATTCGAGAGTGACAATCCCTTCCACACTGGAGACAAATCCAATCTGTCCCCTGTCCAGCTCCCTGGTTTTGCTTCCTTTGTGACTTTCTCTTTGCCTCAGCCTGCTGGACAAGGGTCTCTTCAAATTGGGAGAGGCCGTGATGTACTGCCTGCCTCCAGGCTGAATGATCAGATGTCAGAGTTTCCCATTTGTTGAGGTCTATTCCTAAGGCCTTCAGATCCCGCTTGCAGATATCCTTGTATCGCAGCTGTGATCTCCCTCTGGGGCGATTTCCCTGCACTAATTCTCAACCACTGTAATTACTTCCATTCCATCAAAGATTATATAAAGAATATTTGAATTTTAAGGGATAACAAATATATCTATAAATACAGATACATATATGCATACATGTGCAAGTATACATGTCCACATGTGTACCACATACATTTATATGATACGTGTGGATGAATATATACACAGAATATTTTTCAGCCTGTAAAGAATATCAAAGGAAGTAACTACTCAATTAGAATCAGGAAATTATACTTTTATGGTTGGATAGACTCACCTGCAGGGCAAGATTCTGACAACATCATTTGGTTTGTAACCCTCAATACACACTGCGCAGTTATCAAAATCAGGCTCCGTTTCCTATGTTAAAAAAATTGAAATTGAAAATGTAAAAATCTCCAAAAACACGAAAGCTGAAAGAAATAGATGTATATCACAACAGAAAATACATTTTTATTGAGAATGTTTGATGTAGTTCATTGCAGGTAGGACAGATAAAAACCAAGATTTTTTAAAAATAAAATTGATTTAAATCGTGATCAACTTAAATGAAATACACCCTGATTGCCATCACCCACATGCAAAGAGATGCCACCAAGACACAGCAGAGCCCTATTTTGTTTTCTTCCTCAAGGCATACACACACAATCTGTCAAAATGTTGGGTCCTTATAGAAATTAGAGGCCACTATGCACCTTCCTTGTGCAGCCTTTTGCACTATTTACTCTATGTCCTTCCAAATGTCACTTGTGACAGCCACCCGCGCAACAGGTACTGGTTTATTTTTTATCCTTCTGCCCATAGCATATATTTCTTAACACAGAAAATGGTTAAAATCCAGTAGTAATCTGCAACTAAGGTAAAACCCATTGAATGAGTGGGGTTCTGCTAAGTCAACTCCACCACAGGTTCCAATGATTCAATGGGCCTCATCGAGTTGCAATATAGATGTCAATCTATGTATTTTTTTTTTTTACCAAAAGAAGATATTTGGCAGACATTTTTTTACCTTATCTCCTTTCCTTATCGTTCTGACTTGCAGTTTGCTGATTGCCTTTTTTGCAGCATCTCCAAGACGGCGCTGAAAATGCAAAAAATCACTCTTTACTACAAAAAAAGAGCACAGCTGCATTGAGGTGGTCTCATGGGATTCTGTAATACAGCTTTGATAATGAAAGGCCATGTTAAATTGAATAAAGAAGAGGTAAATAAACACAAGCTACCAGAATCAGGGAAGTCACTTCAGGGAACAGACCTGAGAATGAAACATGAATCAAGTTACATGATTTTCAGTAATTTTACAAAGTTCAATCTTGTGCAATTAAAAAAAATCAGGAAAGAAAGAGAGGAAATTTTTCAATTTTTGTCTATCGGCAAAATAATTATTTTAGTGCTTTACATATCTGTAAAATAGTGTTTTTATGTCAATCTATTGATTAGAAATGTACAAGGGCCTGAAGTACACTTACACACACAGAAATAACATTTGAGGAAGAAGCCTGATGGATGCATGCAGATCAAGCTGACCATTTATGACATACATCTGGATTTCATATAGCTGGGAAGAGTTTCAAGTATTATTTGAGTTTATGTATTAAAATATTTATATTCTATGTTTCATAACAATACCACTTCAAGGCACCTTGCAATATAAAGCCAAGAAATAGGAAAATAAATATTAAAAAAAGAAGCAGCAACACCAACAGTCTGGAGCAACACAGAATCATATCCTTTGCAGCATCTTAGAAAGTCCTAAATACATTTTTGTTTATAGCTAGAAAACCAGATGCAAAAAAGCACAATGGACTTCCCCCGGGAGAGAGTTTACACAACAACATGGACAAATTGTCCTGAGTTCAAACCCATTTGTGCTAAATATACCCTTCACCCAGTTTGGATCAATATTTTTAACATGTTTGAACTCCCTCCTTGGGAGAAATTCTAAATTTACTTCCTGCCAAATGTGTGCCATAACTACAGACCAGTTAACTGTTCCTTGTGCAAAGAGTCTTTAGTAAGAGAGGAAAAAATGTACCAGAGAAAAACTGAATCCTGCACCTGTACACAATAAGCAAAATGCTGGGATTTTCTGGAGTTCATAATTTACTCTGCTTTTGGCAGTCATGGGAACAACAAGGAACATCAAGGGACTGAAAATTCCCTTTCTGGTCAACAGGAATCTCACTTGATGAAGGCTTTGGCTTTAGCTGGCAGTGCCATAACAAGTTATAAGAACATGGGTCACATGATACTGTGAAGAGATTCTCAGGATAAGGAACATTAGTGCAAACAGACGCATGGTCTAGTAAAGCAGAGGAGAGCCATGTGTAGACTACAGGCCTCTGTGGCTCCTGGACTATCTCACTACCACCACAGGAGAAAAAAGTATTATTCTTATAATAGCTTACTTCTTATTTCCAAGCATTGCTTCTGCATGGGGGCAGACAAAAAGGTCAAGCCTAAAAAATAGGCGTCACTTTCTAAACATTTGTGGGTGATAGATAGGACATGTTTGCAAAATCAGTTTTTATTTTTTTATTTTTTTAATTTCAGGAAGCAAATTAGCAGTTTGTGGCAACTGCTTTAAATTGGTAACCAAAGATTTTGGAATTATTCCAGTTACAGATTTTAGTACGGGAGGAAGATGACCTAATCTTGCTTCCAAATCCTTTATATTTCTTGATGTAATATTTGCTATTCTGCAATTTTTGTACGTTTCCGTACTTTTGAACTTGTTTCTTGATGGAACTTCAACAAGGTTATGTTTTTCTTTGCTGTTTATCAATAAATATAACATTTAGCTTATTAAAATCACAATAACTTACTTGTCCAAGTATAGTTTTGTGAGTTTATTTTCTAAAACTGCAGATGGCTGGAATTTATAATATGGAGGAAAAGATGTGAGTAATTCATAAGATTAAATCAGTGTCTGAAAGGATGTTTGCAACTTGGTTACATCTGCACATATACTGATGCTAGCTTAGCACATATGATATGATGATTTGTTTCTTTGGATCCATGCCAGGCCCTACATATATCACTTATTCCTTGCTTCACAATTATTTTCTGATAGTATCTAATGCAAAGAACTTGGTCTTGAATTGCACATATGAATTCCTCAGCTTCAGTCTGAAGACAACCTAATTTAACCCACAGTCTGATTAATGCTCATTAACATTTTTATTTTGCAGGTAGCTGGGATGATGTTAATGTAATGGTTTCCCAATCATGAATTTCTGTGCTGTGAGACTTCCACTAAAGTAGACTGCCTAGTTGCAATACTGTTAGTCCTTCATAATTTTGCACTATCATATGAAGAAGTGTAACTGTGCTCCCTTGGAAGTGGTTTCGAAGTTTGATAATATTTCATCTGTACAGAGATTCTAGAGACTGACAAGTGCACACTTGCCTATGTTCCATCACGATCACAATCTGTTAAAAAGAAGGAAAATTATGCTACCAGATGCTTGAAGGAGTGACAATTTCCCTCTAAAGCAAAATGTGAGCACAGAGCCTTTCTTTAGTAAAATTTCAAATCACATTTGGTTTTTTGGGGAAAAAAACACAAGATTCTGTATTTTCAGCAGCAATGAGACTCACAGCAATTTCTATGTGTAAGTGTCCAAACTGACATTTGGATCGGTGAAGTCTTGGTATAGAGCCACAACCTTCTTGGAATATGCAGGTAGTAGTGTATTCAACACCTGGTGGCAGACTATGTGGTGAGACAATTTATGTTACCTGGAGTGCCATCATGGAAAAAATGGTGGAATATAAACATTAAAAAGTCAGCACTGTTTTAGGACATCAACTAGAACTATGGAATATCACACAGACCCTTTCATATTACTCACATCAGCAGATAAAAACTGTAAATGACAATGAGTGTTATTATGCCTTCTCCAGAGTGCTACAGAATTGGAATACAGTGGACCCTTGACTTAC